CTGTGGTCGTATGTGCTGGTTTTTTAGTTCCAGAAGCCTATATAGCATCACACAATTGTAGTTCGATTACCGCTCTTTTCTTCGCCCTAAGGACAGTACTGTCGTCATATAACTCTATTTACAGAGAGATTGCAATTCATAATAGGTTATGGTCTGTGTAAAGTACTATATCGACTTGACTGTGATCCGTAGCTTGAATATTTCCATCGTAATGGTAAACGCGGTAACCATGGTAGAATAGGGCCAAGTTATATATAAACCCAACTGTCTGTTTATCGTAACGGGCACCGCTGAAAAAGAGATAAAATGTAAGTTTTTTTTTATGCGAAATAACAAATGAACGTTAGAAAAGTGGACTCAAATTCCACTCCACCTTTCCAAAATAAACAATATTTCGAACTCAAGGGACCTTGTTCCGGCAAATGTTCGGGACGGATATGGCACTTGTGAGCTCCCATTGCCACAGGGAGTTGAAGAAGAACTTTCGAGGAGAAAGTTGGACTCACTATGAGGATAGATTTACAAACTCTCATGTACAGTAAAGAGGGTGCCATATTCCGGAGTAAGCGCCCTTAACAACTGTGGGAGAAGTTTGGAGGACCGCGCCTGAATTATCATACGATCAAGCAGCGCTAGCAGATTATTTAACTCGTTTACCCCGATATTGGCAAACATAAAAGCGATTCAACCTGGTGACCGTACAGAATACACTGTCCCTCGTATGGACAACCAGCCACCAAAAAGAGAACTCGGGCCATAAGTTCACCCAGTTTCAACCAAGGCGCGCTTGCCTACTGCTGTACATAGAATCCTGAAGCCCTCAATGTAGAGACCCTGTGGCTACAAATCAACGATCCATTAGTAATAGTAGAGGACCATAATCAGTCTTCCTCCTTAATAGTATCTACCATTTGCCTGTGATGTTCCTGGCCGCTTTGCTACGTATTCTTATCTAGTAGGCAGGTCCTCTGCCCAGAAAATACATATTTATTTGACAGACGGCCGTAAAATATGACCTGCGAAGGAATCTGCATACTTAAAGTTCAAACATAAATGCTGAATAGAGCCGTTTATTCACCATGGTGAAAGTGACGTAGCAAAACCTGATTATTTTCGTTATTCTATGCAAATTGGCTGAGGTTTGAGAAACAGTTGGCACTGAGTTTCAGGTACCATGCTAAGCTATCACCACTCTAGGGTATCTGACCTACATTTGCAAATATTTCTAACGTTTGGCATGTGGCAAAACTAGTGTCACAGTTGGTCACCATGGGATATCCTCCCCCGTGTAGTTAAGGAAGCACCCGTTCGTGTTCTTGGTGGTCGCTTTCTCAATCTGCAACCAGTCATTATAATTGGTCAACAAATGTTGGAAAAAGCTTACAAGCCTAGCCATCCGAGAGACACTATCTGCGGTCGAAATCAAGGGGAATGCTTGCAGTTTTTCCTGGTGAGGAATAAAATCTTTTGCTTGCTCCAAAGCGCTTTCCGTAGCGACGTATCTGCGATGAGCTAGTCAGCGTTTCCTTCATTGTCTGTCACTTTACTACAATGTAAGAGGTACTAGTACTGACCCTGGGGCGAGTGAAAAGGTACATATTGTCTTATTCTCGAGTGATAATCTCCGCATGAAGTAGTTGGCTAGGGCCTTGCTTGCGCCGTATGTTCCAATTGGAACGTCAGGCATAAGCTGCACAGAACTTGTTGACGCAGCAAACGTTGAAATATAGACGAACTTCGGGGCAACGGAGTTTTTCAGAAGGTCAAGGGCTTCCCTAAACAGAAAAAGAGGTCCGTATGCATTAACTTCTATATGTTGCTGAATGTCGCTCAGTGGGACCGAGGCCATAGGGCAAGTTGCTTGAGATATTCCTGCATTGGAAATGGCAACATCGATTCTTGAGATACCATTTTCCTTGATCAGTTGCACACCTTGCACAATCGACGAGATCGAATCACTCTCCATTGGGATGACTATAAGACGACTCCCGGGCCCAGTGGGAATAGATTGAAGAGATACGGCTCTTATTTGAGATGGCCGGACACAGGCAATGACCACATTATCCTGACCGGAAAGATAGAATTGCACAAAGCCCAAACCAATCCCTAGCATAAAAGATCAGTAAGAAACCACTATACCCAACTGTCTTTAGGGGAACGCTCTCACCTCTATTCGCACCTGTAATAAGGTAGACTTTTTGATCCATTGTCATTGAGAATATGATTTCTTTTATATCGGATAGAAGAGTGGACGTAATGTTTTGATGGACTTGAGATTCCACCAACAAGTGAAGAAAGTAGTACCATATTTATAGCAAGTCCTGCAGTGCTCTGTATACCTAGATGGAAATATGATTTCCAATATGATGAGTAATGTTTGATCGGAGGCGTCGGGTGGCGGCCGCCATTCCCGATTAGCCTCAGCGGTCGGATTTATAAATTTTTGAATCTAAATCAATTGACGGCGGCCGCCGCTTGCGCCCAATGACCCTCAACCCATCCAGAAAGAGTGCCCTTCTTAAGCGAAGAGATTACTATACTACTCCTCTCTAATGGCCATGCACACTACTCCACGGACCTGTAGACAATGCAAAGCCAGTAAAAAGAAATGTGATCGGGCTAAGCCTATCTGTGCACGATGTTCCCGGTAATTCTATTCCGACCACCCTGGCCGAACGCCATTCGTTTGCTAATCTATTATAGGCTTTCATTACCTTGTGCATTCGATGGGGACATTGAGAGTCCTTCTGCAGATATTGCCACGAAATTTGAAAAGGTGTTCGAACGACTCGAAAAACTTGAATCACAAGGATGCGACCCTGGAAAGCAGCAGCGGGCATCTGCAAACACTACCATCACACACGACACCAACACTATTAAATGGCAGCTTTCTCCTGGTCTATTTCAACCTTCCTACATGGAAGTTATAGCATCTGCGAATGTGTCCCATGTTTTGGAAAAGAAAAATATCACCATGCTAGATGTAGCTGGTAAGCACCTGGGCACTTTATGCAGCTTTTTGCCTATTATCTCTCAAGAGAGATTTTCGAACAGGCTTCATGAAGCACAGGAACTCAAACCACATGGGTCGTTTTCCATTCTGAGCCTGGCTATTGTTCTGCTCACGGAAGACTCAATTTCCCACCCTGGCGGCACTCCCTCTTCACTGAAGCCGGTTTCTGAGGCCTACCAGGTTTGCAAATACCACTATTCCTTGTTGTGCTCTTTGAACGACCCTTCCATAGAGTTAATCCAGGCCGGCCTGTGCATAGCGCTCTATGAGCATCTACAAGTAATTGGAGACCAAGAATATCTTACCATTGGCGGTTGTGCGAGGATGGCCAGCCTTCTCAGATTGTCACCGTATGCAGCTTACAGCCCGCAGGTACCGGCACAGACATGTGCGAGGAAGAGAATATGCCCCTTATCTGGGGAATCTACACGATAGATAAGTGCGTCTACATCGATGAGAGCTATACAAGAACTTCATAGCTGACCCCATTTCAGACATATTAGCATAATGTCAGAGATGGCTAGTAGGCATCTGCCCTGGGAATTTTCGCCGATAAGTGAACCATTTGACATTACAGGTGCGTTTCACAATGAGTACAATCATAAAGCTGGTAATAACCGTATAATGGCGGTAGACCTGGGCCACTTCAAAGCTGAGGCCGAGGCGACCCATATTCTTTATTCTCTTCGCAAAATTCTCCATCGTGATAAGCCGAAAGAGCTCAACGAGACGCAGATAAAACAAGTCACAGCTTTGGGTCAAAGGCTAGAATACCTGAGGGCCAAGGTTCAAAATTGTCATGCGAGCCACGCAGCATGGCGTAGCGAGCTTGCAACGATCTTAGTGTAAGTCATCTCTTCGACATCCGGTGTATATAACGAGCAAGATTGACGTTTGATGTTTGCTCTGTGTTTCAGTGCATTGCTTCTGAAACATAGCTATTTCTACGCGCAAGAAAGGCGATTAAGTAGCCGTATAGACCCTGGAGAGTGGTCTGAGAAGCTGTTTGAGTGCACAGAGCGACTAACAGAGATGGCGATAAAAGAACTGAGTTTTATTACCTCAAGTGGCCATATTCCTGCTTTTATATCGCCGTTTATAATAACTACGCTGGCGCTGATCACGAAGACCATGGATTCACTTGACCTGACGAGTGTCGACAACTACCATTGGACCCGAGAACGAGAGATCTTTGTCAAATTGCTGCAGTGCCTGGGCACGAAATGGATTCGAGCAAGTGCGTGATTCATAGATTTCACTATGTTCTTCAATACCCTAACTAACGGCTCACAGAGACATTACTGGAGACCATGTAACAGCCGTAAAATATTCCGTCGTTGCCAAATCTGGTTTGAAGCCACTTAATTGACGGACAGAGGGCCGCCAGCATTTGTTTAAGGATCTTCATAGCACAATGATGTCTGGAATATGTCTATAAATTTTGAATTCCACTGGCCCTTCTAGTGTTAAGAACCATATACTCGACGTTACTCCGCATTGCATTTATACCGAGCTGACACATCCGACAGCGAGTCATGCCAAGAGCTGTGTCGCCCCCACTGTTGAGAAATAAGCACAACCTCCGATTTCCCAGATCAGCCTTCCACAACTTCATACAGACAAGAACCCTCATGGACTCGCAATACAAATATATGTGCCCAAGACCTAGGGCTTCATGGGCATGTGTCCACTGCAAACTAAAAAGAACTCGCTGTCTTAGGGAAACCCCACAAATGCCATGTCGACGGTAAAGTCACCGCGAGTCATCAACTCTTCACAGTCTGATATTTCCAATTAGATGCCAGACCCTGAAATTGGAATGCCGCTTCGCCGCAAACAAAGCAAAAGATACAAGAGAACCTAAAGTAGAGGAAGGCGATATTCTTTCAGGGTTATTTGATGCTCAGCCGAGCGCTCCGCCACCCAAGAATGTCGTGGACGTTCATCGTCAAATATTTGAGACAAAGTTCGATATCTCCGGACAACAATCATCTAGAACCTTGTTAGATGATATACCTGATGACACGACGTTACGGCCCCCGGTGCTTGACCAAAAGAGAGCTGATCAGCTTCTAAGCAAGTTCCGAGCCAAGGGCTCCTATTTCCCTTTTGTAACTCTCCCGGGTAACATAGCCTCCGCGCAGCATCGCTTTTTGTATCTTGCTGTGCTTACTGCGGCATCCTCGGATGACATGTATCTGCTGAGGAGCCTCGATAACAGGTTTCGGTCCGTCTTGGCTGATCGGGTTGTGAACGCTGGGGAGAAAAGTCTGGACTATCTGCAAGGATTGCTTGTCTACATTGCATGGTGAGCATTGTCAGGAAGAAGGCAAGTCAGGGGCAATATACTAAAGAGCGTTTGATAGGTACAACTTGCATCTACGTCCACGAAGCTTTCAGTCCTACCAGTATCTCCAAATTGCTATCAGTATGGTGGAGGACTTAGGGCTCGATGATGGGAATATTACACAGACAGAAGCCGACCGCTCATCAGCACTAACTGGCAGCGAAGCTCTGGATGCCTGTCTTGGGTGTTATTACCTTTCCTCCGTGTAAGTACTAGATCAGTAAGTGGCCACTCGGGTCTCTAACAATCGTGAACTAGCATAGCAACAGGAAGCAAACGAGACAACAGGGTGACCCTTTCCTCCAACCTAATAAGCTATCTGCTTCGATTATCCCAGGGAGAGTGCGCCCGTGGTACAATGATATACTCTTGTATTCGGCTTCAGATGGCAATAGAAGCAGCATACAAAGGCGCTGAGAAGCCAGATCGCTTGTGGCCAGCAGACAGTCGGCTTACGTCAGATCCCTCCTTGAATATCCGTACGTTCTCATATTTTAACAACATCGGGCTATCTATCTAATATTTTCATTTTTTAGCTTCGATCAATATCGCACGGCTTACTCTTTCCTTGCTGGAGGAAGCAAGCATACACCGTCTGGAGCCGACGCTCCTAGAATTCGATCTTCCCAAATTTCAGTCCATTATGCGCAAAGCAAGAGCCTTCTTGGACTACTTCATATCTGTCCCCACGTCGAATTATCGCCAGTTTTCATTTACCGAATGGGACCGCTTAATTGCAGCTATTCGTGTTTCAACAGAAATTCTGTCAGCTGCAGCTGGTTTACCAGGCATTGTTGCGGCAGTTGGAGAAGAGTCCCAGACCCTAACCAGATACCTGGAGTGCTTGGCAAATCGGATGGAGAAGGTTTCGCAATCTGGTCGGAATCCCGGCGAATTTCCTGATATATTCTATTTGTTCAAGTCTGTTTTGGACTTACTCTGCCCTCTTCCTCTCGCTGCAACTTACGACCAAGGCATGACCTTAGCTGTCAATTCTGAACCACGCCGCGCCATGCAACGATGCCCGGTTCTGACTAGTATTCAAGAGACAGAGTTCTGGGATGCATATCAGACCTGTGCTCCTGCTGATGACATAGACATTGATCTTGAGACATTGTTCACTAATGAATATCTATCAGGACTATCATCCGAGGAATGGGTGGGCGCTCCTGGGAACATCAGCTACACATGAGGCACTTTCTAGCATCTGTATGTTATATATAATAAAAATCTCCATTCACGCATCAACTAGCTATTGACGATACACAAGCAATGTCATTTCTCTAGATCGTCCAACGATACTCTGGCCCCGAAATCTCTTTACCATTGATATCTCTGGGCTGATACGCAAGACTCGCCCGAGACAACCCAACCACAGCATCACTCCTCCTCCCCTCAAGCCAGTGCTCGAACATATCAATTCCCGCAAAGGCACCACCCGCAGTCCAGAACTTGCCGTCAATCACCCAGCGAGCCGTTTCCCAGGTAGTGTCCGTACATTCCTTTTTAATGTAATCAAGGAATTCGCTATTGGTTGTGGCACGTTTACCGCGGAGCAAGCCGGCTTTGGCGGCCACAATGCCACCAGTGCAGGTGGTGAAGAAGTATTGGACCTCGTCGACCTTGCGGTGAAGGAATTCGCGGTACGAGTCAGGGATATTGTTCCAGAACTCAGGGCCAGGGCCACCGAGGAGGATTGCATCGAGTTTGGGGCAGTCGTCGAAGGTGGTGGTTGGTTGCAGCTTGAAGCCGTTCATGAGGGATACGGTGTCCATCGTCGGGGCAATGTAGTGGAAGTTGATATCGATGCCCTGGTCTACCAGGTCGTCTGGCACGAATCCGTCGCGGTTAATGTGGCCTAGCATGGTTTTGGACCCTGCGATGAGGATGTCGACCGGACCGGCGACGTCCAGGAGCTGGAAGTCGTAGAGGACAACACCGAGCTGAAAGGGAGCCATTTTGTAGGACTGTTTGGATTTCAAACTAAGTGTCAATGAGGAAAGCTTGGAGAATGTTTCTGAAGGTTGTTTGATGGGTAGAGAAGTATTTGCCCATGGCGGGTTTATATAGATGTTCTATAAATGCTGTATACATACTGCGTCGGCTAAAACTTCCTTCCGCTTGATACACTCGCGTATCGTTTCCTTCCGCAGTGCGGTCTTGGCAGCTGATCGGTCCAACCCTAACAGAGAGGGAGTCAAGAAATGATATTAATTATTATTTCTCTTTTTAAAAGGTACGAACTGATAAGGACGTGCAGTCTCGACTTCACATGTTTGCCTACGTCACTAAGTAGGAATCGGGCTAAAGGATGAACTTGAAGAGGCAGTGATCGGCTGTGAACTCCGAGTTGATCTCACCTTCCAGACATACAGCAAAGTATGTAGAGTCATGTTTGAACCCTGTCCTCTACCATTGAGATCTAATTGCATGGATATTGTTGACAGAAGAAGGCCGAAGGTAAAAAATAAAGAAAGACCTGTGATCCAGGGTCTCACAGTCTCATGCACATTGGTGAAATATATTGGATGGATATCATTTATTTATCTTGACAACAAACTTTTTTT